TAATTCTATGAGTTAACGAAGTATACAATTGAAAACACATCGGAATATCATTCAACATCATGAATCATTCTCTAATCTTATACAGACATTCCCTGAGGTTTTCGCTCTTCTCCCTGCCTGGCCAGGGCAGGTGAATGTTATTACCTTCAGGTCTATCGTCTTGTATTTCACTTTACAAACTCTCATATCATTTCTTCTGTCACATATCACGTGTGCATATAATCATCCAATTCATATCATATAATATGTCATTTGCATATGTTCACATATCATCTATCATATCATATAACATAACAATTTAACTCTATTAACAAGACAACACACTTCTTACCCTATCAGATCAGATTTTTTTTTTCACTTTGTATTGGCATGTGCACTTTTTAAAACACTTTTGATTTCATTTTTAGCCTAGAATCGGCTAAACCGTAGCTCTGATACCATTAAATGTAACACCCCCAACCCGTATCCGACCCGGATACGAGTCCGAAGTGTCACATTGACTTTTCAAACATTTATTCGTATAAAATAGTGAGTAATTTAAAAACTTTTATAACATTTAACTTATTCAAAACTTTTAAAAAATATATCAGAGTTCATACAATTTATATCTTTAGATTACATGCCAACTACACTCTATATACAATACATATATTTTCTGATCTGACATTTGGTAAGGAGAACTGACCTGTCTTGCTCCGCATTACTCTTTACTCTTCTCGAAACCTACGTATGAAACAATCACACGCTAAGTCGTTGACTTAGTGAGGCATATAAAACATATAATATTTCATATAACATAAATCATACATAAACATGTACCATCATTATCATTAAGAAACACACATAACATCATATGGTTCATGTAACACATTTCAAACCACTTACCTTTGATAACCATTTATAAACCCATTGTATACATATATTCAATATGTTTGTTTGATATCTTTATTAGCCCATGTACACTATTGAGAACTTAAGGTATGTGAGTACATTGAGGTTGTGCACCAATGCTGTCACCACAGTTCGTATCAACCGAACCTTAGTTCAGTATTCGTCCCGAAGGACCAATCCATAGATTCTGAAGAACCTAGGTAAACAGTCCATATGTCCCGAAGAACATAGGTAAACAATCCATATGTCCCGAAGAACATAGGTAAACAGTCCATATGTCCCGAAGAACATAGGTAAACAGTCCATATGTCCCGAAGAACATAGGTAAACCCTCGACCCTTGGCATGCCAACTATACCACTAGCTCTCTTATCACATAACATGGGATTTAACATTCATAACAGTTCAATTTACTTATTCATATCCTTTTTCTTATGAACATATATATTTTCTTTTCAGTCACGTACCAAATGTACGTGTAATCATTGATCTTATAATCACATGTTCATTCTCTTCGGTCACATACCATATGTATGTGTAAACATATATCTAATATCATATAACACGTATCACAAATGCATGTATTCACATAAATCATTTCTTATAGCTTTATTCATATCACATATTCATATAAGCTCATATCTTATTTCACATATACTTTCCATATAACTTATATATCTCATAATCACACAAATCATAACATTGATCACCAATCAAATAACATTTTAGGAGTTACTTTTTACCATAGTAACTCCATTACTGGCTCATTGCAAGCCAAATGTTTATTCAATAATATAAGTACAAATTAAATTGCACTCACCTTAGCTTTGCTTTGATTCGATTCTAATCCTTCAGTTGATTTAGAACGGGATCACGTTCTATATCTACATAATCATACATAGATCTATATTAGTATCATAACTAATATACTCTAATGGTTCACTCTTTAGACCAAGAGAAAAGTCAATTTCATCTTTTAATGAAGGTATGCATCGATGTACTACTGATGCATCGGTGCATAAAAGGTATTCGATGTAGTATTATTGCTGAGATGCATCGATGCACTCCTTATGCATCGATGCACCAATTGCATTCGATGTTTCACTATTAATGGGATGCATCGATGCACTACCAATGCATCGATACACCTTCAAACAAATTTCTGGGTTTTAACCTTGATGCATCGATGCACTATGAATGTGCATCGATGCACTCTGCCCAGAACTTCTTTTTGAACCCGAAAATCATCCACTCTTCACTCAAATGCTTCATATTTCATCCCCTTTCATATTCCTAACTTTTATATACATGTTTAAACTCATTTATAATAAATTATCTCATCTTTAACCTTAATATCCTCCCCTCTTTATTAACTTCAAGAATCATACCAGATTTTTAACATGTTTTAAATCTAATTCTAACACTCCATATTCCTTAATTAGATTGATGACAAGTCAAATTCCTTCTCAAAATTCACTTACTAACTCTTTTCCAGAATTTCCTTAAGAAACTCATTTTCTTTAATCTTTCATAACTTCTCTATCTTTTGATTTTAGGACAACTTAAGCTTTCCATAAGCTTAAGTATTACCTAATGATCAAAACCCACTCTTAAAATTAACAAATAATCAGCTAACAAGGAATCTTACCTTTGCAAGCTTGGCTCTTCTCTCTCTCGTACATGAAGAAGAAGAAGAAGAAGAAGAAGAAGATGAAGAGAATATCTCTTCATCCTTATCTCCTCTAACATATATATCCTTATCATATCTATTTTTAATTCATTTATTAGTCAAATGACCATTTTTCCCTCTACTTCATTTGATAATTACTAACAACTTTTAGGATTTATTTACAGATAAATCATTGAACTAATCCATTCTTCTACTTTAATCACCAAATTTCTGCAACTTTACCATTTAGTCACTAACCCATAGTTTGGGATGTTACAGTGCTAAATGATAAGGAAATCATATTGAAAATATGGATTTACAGATAGGGCATTTTATGTGCTAAAATGGTAAGGGAATCATATTGAGTGTATGGATTTCCAGATAAAGCACTAAGGGTGCTACAAAGATAAGGAAATCATACTAGTTGTATGGATTTTCGAATAGGGCACTTCGTGTGCTAAAATGAAAGGAGAAGTATACTAAGCATATGATTTTCCAGATAGAGCACTGAGAGTGCTAATATTAAAAGGAATTTACATGAATTGTATGAATTTCCTATGGAATGTATGGATTCCAATAATGATTGATAAATGAGTTAATGGCATCAATAATGCAGATTGTAGTATATTCATTGGAATTAAAGATTCCTTGGAGATTAAATATCAGAATATAACTTGTACGTAGAAATGTTATTTGTGATTATTTATGCCTCACTAAGTAATACTTAACGTGTGTTTATTTCACACATAGGTTGAATACAACTTGTAAGGAGATATTTGGATATTCAATCAAGGTCGCCTCATCAGTAACCGTATGACATAATGAACTGTTTTAGTTATATTTTAGTCGGCATGTAGTAGATTTAATAAAAAAATGTTTTAAAGAAATTTAAACGTATTTATGTAAATAGTATCTGTATAACGATGAACAATTAATTTTTTATGAGTTTTATGCATGTTTGCCAATGTTACTGTAGCAGTGCATTGATACACAATTTTGATTCGAAATTTTGGTGCATCGATGCACTATTCACGTTACTGTAGCAGTGCATCGATACACTGTTCATTGTTCATGGGCATTGTTCGGCATTGTTCATCACTGTTCACGGGTACTATTTATACGTATATTACTGTTCATGAAAAAGTATTTTTTTCAAATTTGTTATAACAAACATAATTCATCAATATATACTCGTATTTTATTAATATAAGTTCAAATGTGTTGTTATTTTGTAAGAAAGTTGTTTTAAAAAGTCAATGTGAAATCTCGGACTCGTATCCGGATCGGGTACGGGTTGAGGTGTTACAGTTGGGAGGGTCACTCTCACTTTTGCAGTACCCGATTTAAATTAGTCGATCGATAAACCATACACCGATGGTTATAAGAAAAATGATATTTTTTTATAAGGTAAACTACAAGATTGATCATATGCCACGTCAACAATCTATCCATCGTCAATTAACACTCAGTGACTATATTTTAAATAAATAAAAATAAAAGTGACCAGATATTTTATGTTTTAAAAAATACTGTAATTTATATTTTTTATATTAATTATTTGTGATATTTGGATTAAAAAAACATTAATGAAATGTAGATATTTTAATAATCAGATCTTTATGAGATGACGCACCAATAATGGGGAACACAAAAAACAAAAATAATCCCAAAATACGGTTCCCGTTTATTTCATCTATCTTTCAACATTTGTACCAATCCGTCGTCTCTTTTCCCATTACCCATTCGGGTTTCTCCTTTCTACTCAAAGCTTATCTGGTTAGAGATCTCACCTTTGTTTTTCATGCGTCATTTCATATCTTTTATACGTATAATGTATTATAAACTTATTCTTAGTTTTTATCACTATGATTATCCATGTAGATGATAAGTGATTGGAGGAAAATGGGTTCTTAATGGATATGGAACTTTAGCGCGAACCATACGTACTATGGTGATTGGATAGTTGGATTTAACTTTTGCCTATTTTTGGTTGGAGAAGGAGACTTTAATATATGCTTGCTTACTGGTGTGTCTGCCAACAATTTGTTTTAAGCATGTTACTATCGGGAAATCTTGATTTTACTGTTTACAATTATACAAGATTGTAGTCTTTACATCTTAAATTTAGTTCTTAATGTGATGAGTTTGGTTTGAACTTTAAAAATAAAGCTAAAAGAGGGATTCGGATTGGATCCGAGATTTATATCTTGCCTATAAAGCATCTGGATCCCTTAATTTATGGCATTCTTTTCATGGTTTGATGACTATAAATGCTTTTTGAGGTATTAATATGTAAGAATTATGGTAATTCTAACCATGTTTTCATTCTTTTGCAAGACCTGCACTTCTTTGTTATCACTAAAAGGGTGGTGAAAGAAAAAGTATATGTATGCTGTTCTGATGACATTTTTTGCATGTTTGAAAGCATTTAAGCTGATTTATTTGCTGTTGACTTATATGTATATTCAGGAAAGATGTCTCAGAGAAGCATCTTGGATAATGGTTTTGATGAAGGAGATAAAGATACACATAATCATTCCATGTATAAAGTAAGCTGTTTTTGCATTTTGGGACGCTTATAATTTGTACTTTTGCTTTATGAAATTGCGGTAAGGCCATTTTCTACTTGGTTTTATCAGAGTTAAAGAGTTAGAAGCCTCCTTTGAAATTACTAACCGGATATATATATATATATATATATATATATACACACACACATACATATACATATATATATATATCTCACTGTGTAAAACGTTTTAGTTTTACATTTAAAAATCGTTGACAAAGGAAAAAAAAGGAGATAATCTCATCCGTCTATTTCCACTCATCCAATGTGTAAAACCTTATCATATAGTCTAATGAATTAAATGTGTATTCAGTTCCCAGCCTTTTGATGTTGAAGAATGCAGCTCTCTCTGTTTGGATATACTTTTCCCAATTCACCTATGAATGAAGGATGATTAATTGCTTATGATGTAAAAAGTCTAGAAAAGATTCTTTTTCCATTGAATCTCTCGTTTATGGCTGTCAATTTCATTACTGCTTTCATGTTTCAGAACTGTATTTAGCGTCTGATAATGATTTCTATATACATAAACTTCCAACTTTCTTTAGGACACTTTGAAGGCTCTTTTGTACAGATTTATATCTCCGACTGATTTTGCTTGTTTTGCTTAAGGTTGACCCTGGGAAATCACCATCACTGTCTTGGAAGAGAAAACTAAATGGTGAGGGACGTGTTCCTTCAATGTTCACTCTAACTTTTCAAGAGAAACTTCATATGGTATGTATAGACAGCAAAAATTTTCATGGTTTTTGCAAATCATAAACCTCGTGATGTATATACTGCATAGTTTACTTTTGTTTTTTTTTCATATGTAAATGCATAATGCTCTTAGAGAGACAGAATTTTCGGAAGGATAAACAAAAAATAACTTAAGCTGAATGGAAGATTAGCAAAATGAATCCGAATTTGTATATGGAATCACACACCATTTCTTTTTACTGCTAGCAAATAGATACCACTATGATTGAGAGAATGTTTTTACATCATCTGAACAGAATGCACAAGATTTTCAATACATTTTATTGTAAATGAATTTTAGCTCTTGAAATTTGCTAAAACAAATTTGTAACACGATGTCAGACACAGTGAACATGAGTTTAGTTTATTCAAGTGTCTATACTTTCTAGAATTGCCAATGAATCATAGCACCCGGATGGAGTATGATTACTCAAATCATGAAGCACGTTTAATAATGGTATAAAAGTACATGGGGAAGATAGAGTTTGACAAGCATTTATCAAAGTCCTTAACTGTAAAATGTACATTTGGTAGAAACATTTTGAAAATGCATACCATTTCTTATTAATTGATCCATTAACCATTATTTTGCTTTGATAGGCTCCCATAGGTATTCGGTTATGGCAACATATACGAGAAAACTCAGCCAAAGGAAAGGTAATTTCTTAAATATATTCTTAGTGTAATGTGTTACAAATGGTAAATATCACCATTCCGCCAAATTTCTCTGGCCTGTTTTCTGACACTACATCTCCATTTTTGTTTTGCAGCGGGGTATTATTATCGACCCATTTGCTAAGCGCTATATCACATCTTGTCATGGTATTCCTCTTGGTGGTGTTGGGTACGTCTTCATTTACTTGCCCAAAATCTTGATTTCCTTTCATTTCAATTCGTAGCATGAAAGAGTGAATGCTTGTTAAGACAAACATAATATTAGGAAATAGGAATTGATTACGAATGAAACGTGTTCAACCAAAAACGTGTAGAAAGAGCATATAGTCGTTGACCACAAAAAACAATAGAATGAGGACTTTGCTTCTGCAAAATAGAAGAAGAAATAGAAGAATAGATTGGCCCTAATGCTATGTGAAGTGAGAAGAAGAAATAGAACTATTCTGAAAAATTCAGCTTGATTGATCCTCATTCTTAAACCTAATTTTATGCTAATAATTATGTACAAAATAAGGAAAAGAGAATATCTTACTAAATCAATTCCTAATATCATGTATGTCTTAAAGTTTGTTTTTGAGTATTTTGTGACTTGTGACTAACTCTTTTTATATTATCATCCCACTTCACAACAACAATCTTCAGTGCCGGAAGCATAGGAAGGAGTTACAAGGGTGAATTTCAGCGCTGGCAACTATTTCCTAGAATATGTGAAGAGAAACCAGTTTTAGCAAACCAGTTTTCTGTAAGTTGGTTATCCCTGGAGGAAATATGATGGTGTCCTTTTCATTTCTATTATCTGCAGCTGTAATTAATAACTTAACTAGGTGCATGTCCTATCAAAAGTTGGTCTTCTCATAAACATTCGAAATTCGTAATGAGCATTATATGCCATTCTTCTTTAAATCAGAAGCGTGTGATTAAGAGTTGTCCCCCTCAACCATCCCCTTGTCTTCTGTTTTTGAATTGTCGTTACCATGACCTTTTTAATTCTAGGAGATGATGTTTAAGATTCATGAAGTTAGTATCTTAAAGGTAATACTATTTCTGTCTTAATCGACTTGAAATGTTTATTATAGGTTTTTGTTTCACGCTCAAGCAGCGAAAAGTATTCTAGTGTATTGTGCCCATCAAGTCCTGAGCTAGTCAAGTAAGCAAATATCCTTTTCTCTCTATATTTAACAAAAGAATGTTGTTATTTATTGCTTTGAGGGCAGCATGTATGTGATACCCATATTCAGGCGGAACAGTCTGATCCAAATATCAGACATCATATTAGTCACTGAAATTATTCACATTCAAAACAAATACTTTCACTTAATCAAAATGCATGTAATCTAAATTTTCTAAAACTATTCAATCAACATGCATCAATAACGTACAACACATATTAATCACTACAATTATAATTCGTTTCTTAGAATACATGTAACCTTATCAAGCATGTGGATTAAGTTTCTTCATGTTCAACTAATTTCACCAAGTCACTTAAAACTAAGTAAATCTGGATTCAAATAAACATGTACATTTAAAAAGTGAATGAACTCATATCCCAAGTAATTCTGTTAGGTTCGATCGATCAACTGAAATACGCCAAGAGGGGAGTGAATTGACCTTTAAAAACCTTTGGTGTGGAAGCAATAAAAGATAGAAAAATTAGCACAACAATATATAGTGGTTCGACTTCTCAACCAAGTCTACATCCACTACTTTAACTTCACGCTAAGGATTTTCTAACAAATTCACTAATTTGTTCTTTCTTTTTCTATGCTCAAGAGTAACCTTTACAATTCTCTAGCTTTTAAAGGTTAAATTAGAATCACTCCCCTTTTCAACAAAGGATAACTTGTGTAAACAAGAAGACCTTTCTAGGTAGGTGTTTACAAGGATTATCCTCACAATAATGGATACAAAAGATATGCAATTAAACTCTGTACGCTTATGTACAAGAGAAAAATTAAGGAAATAAAAATGGAGACTCTTTTCTCTTGATCTCTAAGCTTGGATAGGTGTAGTAACTTTCTTTATGTTTTCCTGGAGTGTTTTTATTGTGTGGAATGAGTTGCCAGCTGTTTATGACTGTTGAAGATGAATTATATCCGTTGGAAGCTTTAAAAATATGCAATTAAAGTTACCTGTACATGAAGCTTTGAAACTATTGAGAAAGTATCGAAACTTCTAAATACATTGTTTTTGAAAGTTTCGAAACTTTGATGAAAGTTTCGAAACTCTTAAAAATATGACCGTTGAAGAAAATCGGGTCGTTGAAACAGTTTCAGGGGGCAAAGTTTTGGAACTTCATCAAAAGTTTCGAAACTATGAACAAATACCAAATGTTGGACTGTATTTAAAAGAGAGAAATATGAGAGAGAGTGTCAGGAAAGAAGAGAGAGAAAAAGGAATAGGCCAGTCTTCCTCCGGCGGGAGTTGGACTGTATTCGTTGACAACCTGAGTAAGAGAGTCACTAGGAGTGAGCTAAGAAACATATTTATCGATCAGGGTCAGGTGGTGAGAATTTTCATACCAAATGTGGTGAACAGGCCAAAGTATAAATCTTTCACTTTTGCCTTCGTTCAGTTTGGTAATGAAACAGAGATGAGGAATGCAGTTGAAAATATTAACGGGTTGTGGATAGATGGGAGGAAAATTTACGTTGGAGTTGCAAAGTACCAGAGTGTTCGACCAAGGGTTGCTGGTTCTTCTCGTCTTTCAGTTGGTGTCCAGGAAAAGGTTATATTTGATAAAGCTAATCCAAGTTCGAAGGCTGTGATTCCGAGCAGATTAAGAGATGATAGATCATACAAAGATGTCTTGGTGTCGTGCAGTTCGCAAAAGACTGAGTCGGAGCATATAGGAAAAAGTTACAAAAGTCTAGACAGGGGAAGAGGGATGAAGAAGAAGAAGAATATTTGGGAAATGCATATTCCTACTGAAAATTCAAGTTGGGTGAAAAGATCTCTAACGGGTATTGTGAAACATTCCTTTGAGTTGGAGTTGGTTCAAAAAGGTTTGGCTAGTGATGGTTTTGAAGTTCAAATTGCGAGCTGGGGATATGTTTGGAACTCTTGTGTTATAACGTTCAAATCAGAGGAATTGATGAAGGATGCGTGGTCAAATAAGAGTAAGGAGTTATGGTTCTGGTTCGATCGGTTGGCACCGCTGTTGAATGAAGGTGGAGCGCCTATGGCTTATTGTTTGGTGGAGCTGTTCGGTGTCCCTCTGTTATGTTGGCAAGAGAATTTCTTACAGAAGTTAGCTGGAAGGTGGGGTTCAGTGGAGGTCATCCAGGATTCGACTCTAACAAGGGAAGATCTCTCGATGGTGAGAATTTTGCTTAGGGTGGAAAGTCCCTTTGACGTCCCGGAAGTGTTTACTCTAGGTTCCTACGGAAGATCATATAAGGTGACTTCTAAGTTGGGATCTACTTCCCAGGTTTCAAACTTCTTTCATGGCATCTCGCCGGATAAATTTTCCGACGATAGAGTCACAGTCGTAGAGTCGTCAGAGGAGGAAGACGATAGTATACGTTCGTCAGACATGGCAGGTCCAGGTCAGCTTGATGTGGAAGATCGGCAGAAAGTGGACTTATGGATTGATTAGGGATTTCCTGTCGGGGTTGGTGCAGCATATGAAGAAAATCAGTTTTCAAAAAGAAGCTTGGCAGGGAAAGACATTAATGAAGTTGTGTCAGAAGGTCACAGTTTGGGGAGTAGTAAAAAGGGAGATTATGCTGGGCTGGGTTTAAGAAATAAGGGGGATTATAAAGATAGTTTGCAGGCCCTTTCAGACAGGAGCAGTGAGCCTTTTTCTCCTATCTTGAGACTAGTTCCGGCTGGGCCAGCAGTCAAATTCATTGGGCCCGGAAATGCTAATTAAAAGCAAATTCATAATGTTTCTAACAGCTCTGGGGATGGAGACAAAGACAGAGGCAGTCAAGGCTTATGGTCTGAGGCCGGTTTTAAGGATACAACAGGTATGGATGGTGAAGTGGGGTCTGCTGAAGGCTTAAAGTTGTCATGTTTTAGAGCTGGTTCGCCAACTCGTTCTACTAGTCCTATTTCTTGGAAGAGTGCCCCGGTTGGGAGAAAGCTAATTAAGAGTCATAAGAGATTTTATAGCAGGTCCAGAGAAAGAAAAATTTGGTTGGATGAGCCAGGAAGGGTTTCTAGTTTAAAGTTGGGTAGGTTTCCTATCTCAAGTGGTTTTCATTCTAAAAGTCCAGAGGCGGCTGGGTTGGCTGAAGGGGTTTGTGTTGATCAAAGAGGCAAGCGCTCCTACAGGAGAATGAAAAGATCCCTCACTAGGGATGCTCTAGACCATGCTAGTGTGTCTACAGTATCCACATTAACATTCTCAGGGCTGTTGGAGGAAGCGATTGCTACTTGGGAGATAAGCAGGATGCTGGGCATTTCTTTCAAGGAAGGGAAGAATGCTTTTCTACAAAAAATTATGGATTTGGAGAAAGGTTTGAGTCAGGCTAGCTGAGTCCTAAGATGGATTCTGGGATTGCTTTGGTATTTTTTATAATTGAATATGATGACAAAACTCATTATCTTGTCCTGGAATGTTAGGGGGCTGGGCAAAAAGGAAAAACAGAGAGCTGTTCAGAAGTTATCCTCAGAGAAAAAACCAATGTTTCTTTTTCTCCAAGAGACAAAACTTGAGATTTTACCAAGCTCATTTTTAAGAAGAAGTGGGTTGAATAAGTTGCAGGGGTTCGTTGTGTCTCCAGCAGTTGGTTCTTCAGGAGGCTTATTTAGTTGTTGGGATGATAGTTGTTTTGAGTTAGAAGACCAATTTATCCATAGGAGGTTTATTGCTGTTTTTGGAAAGTTCAAATTCAATCAATTTAGGTGTGGGTTCATTAATGTTTATGGCCCGTCTGTGGAAGAAGAGAAGGCCAGTTTCTTTGAAGAATTGGGACAGTTTTTAAATGGGTGCAGTTTGCCTTTATGTGTGGGAGGGGATTTCAATGCTTACTTAACAGAGGAGGAGAAGGATGGCAGGTCTCAAAATAGAAATTCAATGGATATTTTCACTCTGTTCATTCAGCAAACGGGGATGATCGACTTACCTTTAATAGGGGGGAATTATACATGGAGCAGTAATCGGGATTGCCCCACTGTTATTAGGCTGGATAGGTTTCTGGTTAATGTCAGCTTCCTTTCTAAGTTTTCTGATATTACCCAATCGCTGTTGACAAAGTCCATTTCTGATCATAATGCTATTATTTTGGAGAGTGGGGAAGACAATTGGGGCAAGAGGCCGTTTAGGCTGTTTAGTTATTTGATGACTGAGGACGGCTTCCAAGAGAAAGTTGCAGAGTCTATTAATGAGTTCAAGAGGGTCAGAAAAAAAGCAGGAAATCTGAGCATTCTTAGAAACACCAAGTTTGCTATAAAGACTTGGTCTGGAAATAGGAATCAGTTTCCTAGTAAACAGATTTCTGCTATTGAAGACAAGATCCATCACCTAGAGAACTCTCTTCAGAAGAATCGAATTTCAGGAGTTATTGATAGTTCATCAGAGCTGAAGTTACTGAGGGATGAGCTTTGGAGACTTTACAGAATTGAGGAGCAAATCTGGTTTCAAAATTCAAGAGAGAAGTGGGTTAAAGATGGTAATCGGAATTCTAAATTTTTTCACACTTGTGCTTCCATTAGGAGGCGGAGGAACGCTCTAAATGCTATTTGTGTAGATGGGGTTATTATCAGGGACCCGGTCCGGTTAAAGTCTGCTGTCAAAGAGCATTTTTTCAAAGCTTTCAATAGCCGCACTACCTTGGAAGTGGAGGATATTAAGTTAAATTTCTCAAGAATTTCAATGGAGCAGAGTCTTATGCTAGAAAAGGAGTTTACGGAAGGCGAAATTTTGGAAGCCTTGAATTCGTGTGATAGTAACAAAGCTCCGGGTCCGGATGGGCTGAGTATGGGTTTTTTCAAAAAATTTTGGTCTTCATTGAAAGGTGATATTATGAATTTTTTCAATAACTTTTACTTGGGAAAGGATTGGGAGCATGGCATTAATCATTCGTTCATAACTCTAATTCCAAAGGGCTCTAATATTGGGGGTTTAGATGATTTCAGACCAATTAGCCTAGTAGGTGGGATGTACAAGATTCTTTCCAAGTGCCTTTCGAGAAGGTTGAG